CTCCTACATCTCTCTGCCAGGGCCAGCCTCTTTCCTCTCTCCGTCAGGCCCTGACGGTGAGCCAGCCTCCTACACCCCCTTTTTTTTAGCCACTTTATCTAGACTGGCCTCTGTTGTTTTCCTCTGGAACCAACCTCTTTCACCACTTCTGTAAATTCAACTTCTTCCATATCTGCTAGAGGGCGAACATTCTTCTTCTAAAGTTTCACCCAACCTTTGAGAGGTCATTACCCCAATAAAACTGTGGGCTGCAAATATTGGCTGATTTGGGCAAACCAATGAATTGGTCAGACTCATTGGACAGTAGTGCTTCTCTGGCAGCAGACTCATTTTTATCATGTATTTCCAGTGTTATAATTGGAATGGTTATTACAATTTAAGTGTCTTAAAAAATTAATCACTAGATTATTCAATAACTAAAGAAATCGATAGTGACAGCCCTGTTTTAAATAAAGTTATTAATATGTTGGATAGAAGAATACAGTTAAGAACATAGGTTTGGTTCCTGCTTTCTTGCTGCAGCACCAGTCATTGCATGAATTTGAAAGTTTCTTACAATTGAAAACAAAGCAGCTAATTATGGCTTTTTTAATGGCAGGATTTTTGGTGATAAGTCTACACCTCAGTACTGGCACTGTATTGTTTTTTTGTTTGAATTAATTAAAAAAAAAAAAATGCTGTGTTGAAAACAATGACATTCAATAAACCTTTTATTTGGTTTATTGAATGTCGTTGTTTTCAACACAGCATTTTTTTTTTTTATTTGGTTTTATTTGGTATTTGGTTTTATGTTTCCCTTTTTGAATTTACCCTTTTTGAAAACATTCATTAATAATGATTTGTGAATAATTATGTGGGATATGGAGCCGTTGCTCACTCTGGAATGGATCCAGTGCAGATGCAACAAGTCAGGGCCGGATCCGTTCCAGAGAGAGCTGCTTATATCAACTTGAGCTTGAACCTCTTCTGAACTGGGTCCGTGCCACATTTGGGCCAGATATCAAGATAATATTTAGACCTGCACCAATTCAGGGCCAGATGTAATGCTGTTCTTTGCTCATTTTTAATCTGTTTTGGTGCAGATCCATAAAACGGATCAGTTCCGGTATTGGGCCGTTGTGCAAAAAGACACCGGGCCAGCTCTGTTTTGCGGATCCGGACCGGATGCAGTGCTACATTTGGCCCTAATCAGGTGCAGTGTATATTGTTGTCTGGGTTGGTTTCTTTAAACTTTGCTTTCAGATTTTTAACTTTTCTTTGACGCTGCAGCCTTGTTCTCCTGTGGCCACATTTGGCCATTTCTTTCAAAATCTCTTTGAACACGGAGTGTCTTTTAATTTTAATGGTACAGAAACATTACTCTAAATGTTTGAGGTCTCAGCAGCGCGAGTTTATGGCAAATGTCAGGTTGAACTGACGTAAAAGTCACAGGAATTCCGATCTGGCTGTTCAGACTAACCTCCTGAGACCCAGAAAAATGAAAGTTAAGAATTTCAGTATTTTTAAGACAAAATAAATCTATTAGCTGAAAAAAACTTGTCACCGTGAAATTTTCTTTCAAAAATATTTTTTTATGTAATGTGCTTTATAGTGGACAACAGGACGTTGCATTTACTTATGTTGATGTCATATTTCCTGTTTCCTGTACTGCATCAACCCAACCCCTGCTGCAACATCAGCAACATCTTTAAAGTCCTTATTATCAATGTGCTGCTCAAAGTAATTCCAGGGCACTCAGCCAGTACGACTTTGGGTGTTGTCATTTAGCAGCAAACTGTTCCATCCGATGAGGGATGAGAATTAATTTATTTTTAATTTTTTCATTTTCAAATGTACAATTGAGTAAAATGAGATTTTCTAATAAATTAAGAAAATAAATAAAGCTCAGATTGCGAGCTTTAAAAATACTGGTGGTACAAAAAATGAGCTCCAAAAAGGAAAAAAATCACAGTAAGGTATTTAACTGTTAGGCTCACATGTTGTTGCTTCTAACCCAAACTGGATCAAGAGGGCTGTGATCATCCTTTAACTGTCACCTGTGATACCATGGATTTAATCTAAAACAGATTTATAAAGTCCCAGTGTCCACCAGAGAGGACATGAAAAAAGTATAGGTGGTTAAACTTGCTTTGAAAATTTGCTAAAACGTTTTTCTATCTAAAACATATCAACTATATGCTTTAGAAACATCATCAATGCATATTTCTCAACTACTTACCTCTCTTGCACCCATAAAATGTGGTTGCTGAGATGGCAGCCATTTTGAAAATGCAGTTGCGAATGACAAACCCCCAACAAATGATATATCATTTGAAAGGCCATGATGTCCTCTACATGGCGCACCAGGTTTCAGCACTGTAGCTTATATGGTTTTTGAAATATTCTTTGGGGGATTCATGTCCCCCACAGAGGACAAAAATGAATTACCAGGTCTCACAAGTCTAAGTCACATTGCTGCAAATCGAATACGTATCGGATTTCAGTACCACATTTAAAGGGTCCATACGATACTGTGCAACTAACATTTTCGGCCAATAGGAATAGCTTTTTGGCACACCTACTCGTATACGTCATCTTTCAATACGCCCACTACTCCGTCCTGCGAGACCTATACTTGTTAGCATCAGCATTTCTCCCACCCTATGCTAGTCAGTAATACGTGTTGCTAAGTTGTATAAACGAGAGAAAAAAATACAATTCTGTTGCCGACGATGTTGATTCTTGAGTAGGTCAGTGTCCTCTGTCTCCAAATTGGATTCTGGTTCTGGTGGCTCAAACATGTGGCTGTACAAGACAGAGCAAATTCTGTGTGTTTGTGTCAGCTGAAGCACTGCTAGCGTCTTTATTTTACTCCAAGATAGGCTTTGCTGTTTGACCTAGTGAGCTAATGGAACCTTAGTGCGAGGCTGAAGGCAGCCTTCTATTCGCCCGTTCCATTTTCTCGTTCCACCTTAAATGGTGCAGGAGTTATATTCTGGCAAATGACAGACTGCACCTTTGCCATGGTTTCAGTTCCTTCAGCGGACATGCCTCCAGCGTTTCTGAGCGGAGAATACTCCTTATTTTTAAGCATTTAAACCCTAATGTTATATGTTGTGGATTTTTAAAATCAGCAACTGGATGGTTAGTAACTCATTTTTCTGTGCTGTGACAAACTCAGAACACTTTTATTTCTGCTTTACATGGACTTTAAAAGTCAAAACCACAACCCTTAATGACCCCTACTGACTGACACAGGCAAACGAAATTCCTCAAACCATTCTTTAACCCATTTTCAAAAGTTTTACTGTAATATTAGAAGTTTATTCACCCCAACCCAATTACAACAGAGTATGCCTATCAATTAGGGGTGGGAGGAAAAATCGATTCTTAGATGCATTGCGATGCGGACAATTCCAAATCGATTCACATGTCAAAAATGTATATTCTAAATTTTAATTTCTAATAATGTTGACAGAATGCAAAAGGCGGAACTTGGAAGTGCGGCGCCTGGACACTCTGTGACGTGCACATAACAAAAACACAACTGGATGAACGAGAAATCCGACTGGCACTCTCTGCATTAAAAGCTTGGTCAGGTCAGGAGTCGACAACCCAAATGTTAAGAAGAGCCATTTTGTCCTTTCAATAAAAATCAAATTACCTTGGGAGCCTTTTATGTCCATTATGTGCTAATGTCCTAGTATAGGCTAAAAAATATAAACGAAAAAGCAGATTTACTTTGCTCTGCTTTAAGCTTTAGCTATAGCCACTTTCCTCCCATCTCCGCCAGAAAACTTTTCTTCAAAATGTCTCTCAACGTTCGACTGTTTTACGAGGCTGAAGTCGCTTCTCATTCACCAGCTTCTTGTTCGAATTTTCCTGTTCCACCTTAAATTCTGCCTGAGGCACCAGAATGTAAATACGGCACCATTTAAAGTGGAATGGGAAAATTTGAACGAGAAGCTGACTTCATCTTCACAATGTTTTAGTGTTTGACAGTCTCTCATTGCAGGTTTAACGTTCTAGGAAACCAACTGCGCTGCTTATAAATGCGAACTAGTCTATTCGTCTCGAATCTCTCTCTTTGCATTTTCGTTGGCTACTAGCCAGGCGAGACTGTATTGCTGTGTGAACTGCAGTCTGCACGTCAGTTCTCAGTCGTTGAGGACAAGGGCTTTCGCGCTATATTGCCCACTTTGGAGCTGAGATACAGCGTCCCGTCTCGAAAATATTTTACTGACGCGATCCCCACTCTCTACAACAAGACCAAAACCGAAGTTACAATTAAAAAAATATAAAAGAAAACGGGTAGGACAGCTGTAACATGCTGCGTGGACATCTATTGCCACAGGATCTTATGTCACCGTAACTGCACTTTTTATTACAGATGAGTGGCAGCCTGCGTCTCATGTGCTCCAAACAAGCGCAGTGAATGTGAGCCTTCCGGTTCACTTGCCACATCACTTCCATTTGTTTTATTAATAAAAGATATTGGAAGTAAATTCATTATAAATGAATTTACAAATACTTTGCTTTAAAAGTACCAAGTCTTCACACAGTGGGAAAAAAGAAATCCTGTATAGAAAAAAAGGATGCATCGATAATTGTTTTATAATCGCATCACAGCCCTCCGAATTGAAATCGAATCGAATCGTGAGGTGCCTAGAGATTCCCATCCCTACTGTCAATCATGAAATCTTAGCTGACAATTTATTGGCATACAAATAATTTAAGTAACATTTTTTTGTTAATTGTATGCAGCTATTAAAACACAAGCCCAAAGTGGTCAAACTGGCTGAAGAGCTCAAATAAACAAACAAGTTAATTTTTGTCTCCCTGCAGTTTCTGCTTTTATTTACATTTACTTTCCATTTATTAAATTTTACATTTATTTATTTTACATTTATGAGCTTGGAGTTGGAAAATCTTTGTTTGTTCATATTATACTAGAATACATCTAGATATCAAGAAAATCATACAACTCAAAAAGCATACAGACCATTCAAGCTACATACAAGTATGAATTGTAAAACATTTATTTGTTCACTGCAGAATGCTTATTTCATGTTCTCAGGTTGAACCAATGTTTGGCTGGCACGATCTCAATTTTCCATATAAACAATATTTCATGCATCACACACACAAACACACAAAGCTATTCTATGGTCTGTTTTTCCCTTTTGCTACTAGCTAGAGCCTTCAGACAGAGATTTCACTTCTTGCAGGTTATGATCCACAGCTCCCTCTAGAAACTGCACCCACGGAAAGTCTCCTTCCAAACAAATGTGACATGACCTGAACCACAAAAGACAGATTCAGAGAGATAAAAGCAGTGAGTGGTCCTACAATACTCATTTGAGCGTACATGCGAGGACTCCAAGGCCATAGGGTGTCACATTTCTTATTTAGGCATTCACAAGTGTCCTCAGACCAACATGGCAGAAATGAAGATATTCAGGTGTAAATCAACATGCATTTGTTTATTAATTTAGCTGGTTATTGTGCTGCATTATGCTTGTAGTCTACATAGTAATAAAAGGGTGCTTTCTTTGTACTGTGCTGTTTTATGGAAACTGCAACACCGTGCTTCAGAAGAACTCGTTTTTTTTTCTATCTCCATATAGCTGTGGTGAGAGGGAATGACAAAGTACACCAGTACAGCATTGTGTTTCAAAATAAACAGATAAACAGATAAGATTTACATCTTTTTTCAATCACTGTACTTATATTATATAATATATGAATATTTTGAATGAAAGCTCAAAAGGATCAGCAATAAAGAATCTTATTTTATAGTACGTTTTGCTCATGTTTTAGAATGTGGAAAAGGTTTTTCTTACCTGATGATCTGAAGTGCTTTCATTAATATGGCTGCCAGTTTAGATGCCTAAAATAACGACAGTGTCAAATTCATTAAACTGATTTTAAGTTTAACAAAGTTGAGCTTCATTGTCAACAAGGGTTCTATAAACTATAAATTATATGTATGTGAAGATTTTAAGTGATAACGATATAAGTGTCTTACATTTTGGTCTACGACAGGGCAGTCTACAGGTGGGTAAAGGCTCAGAACTAGGTCATCAACACTGCATAGAAAAAGCAAAAAAGAACCACATGTTGTAAATTATATCTATATATACAATGTATTCTTAAACTTTCAAGCATAAATACAGCAGACATTGTAAGGGGAGGGTGTCAAATGGTACAGAGTGGTAGACAGGTTTTGTGGCATAAACATTAACATCAAAACAAAAGCAACAATGCCTATATTTGAAACTGTATCTACTGTTAAGGATTTTTGGAAAGGTGTAGTGTCCTGACAAATTCAAGTTTGTATTTTCATGCTGCATTTCTTTTTGGAATTCTGTTCCACCAAAACCCCTTTCTGTAAAAGCACAACTGGGTAAAAAATTATTGGGTAAAATCTGGGTGTTACATTTCCAGAAAGATTTGCAGCCCAATTTATGTCTTATCATTAGCTGTCTAATGCACTCAAGCACTTTTGATTACAAGATCTTTATAAACCCTAATGTTAGCTTCTTTTACTCAGACTAATTATACAAACACTGACTTTCCCAACATTTTGTAGGGTGCTATATGTTCCATGATGAGAAAGACCAATGACCTTTCAGAACAGTGATGGCAGTCTGTGCTTGTCCTTTCTTTTGTCTGCCTTCTATGCTGAAAGGCGTCTTTCTAATAACTATTTGACTTGTCAATCATGGATTAACCTTACAACTGGGTGTATCAAGATAATATAAAAAGCCTTTTAATCCCTGTGTATAGTTGACATCCAGACTAATCCATGGATCATTATTAACTGTAACAGGAAGGTTAAAGAAAGTGTTTTAGCTTCAAAAAAGTAAAGAAAGAAAAAAACATTCCAGAATCATGAGATTTTACTTCATTTTACCTCTCTGATTCAGTCTATGTATAAAGTGTGTAGAAACTTATGAAGAAACTATAATAGTATAAACTGCCAAAGCCCTTGTCTACTCATTTTCTTGGTTTTATTTGAACTATTATCTTTAGTTCTGTTATGTTTTACAATGAACTGGCATAGAAAGGATGCTGTTGGTCTTTTCTATTGAAAGATTTCTTGAAACTACTTTTTCTGCCATTTTTTTTTCTGTTCAATTTGAGTTGGGCGTGTCTACATTTGGCGCAGGTGACGTCAGATCTGCCAAAGTACCGATCAGAGTTAGCATTATGTATACGTCAGCTACTCGCATTCCTCTCCCTAACATAAAGTGACTGCTTTTTTTTGCAAGATTATACTGTGTGTTTAAATTCATTTACGAGAGCTTGATAACTAATGTCAGTTAACTTAATTGTAGAAATAACATGATCGTTAGCTTGATGTTATGTTAGCTAACTCCTCCTAACATAAAGGCTCACTGTGTTTCCCAGCGATTTTACTTTACAGGCACATTAAAGCACACAAGAAGTTTCTCCATCATGTCTGCAAATATGACTCTGCCGACTCATAACAGAAGCTTGTCTGGCCAGCAGGAACCAACAGTGATCTAGCTAGTTACAGGTTATGCATATAATATTATTGCTGCTGACCGTTCAAATATTGGATGACATGTTCATGAGCTACCCTTCATAAGATGCAGTACCTATGTTCTCAAACATGAGCTGCAAAATATAAATTATATTAATTATTATTAATATCAATCATAATTTCTACAATTACCTTTAGACAGCTTGTTCTCTGTTTTGCACTTTTTTACTCACCATTCAAAGAGCAGGTGTGAAGACCAAAGTGGTCTATTTTTTCTGTGGGAGAAGCTCCAACGTGTTGAGCTGAACCACTGCTACTGGAACCAGGTTGTTTACATTGGCTGGGTTTTGCCACAGTCAATCATTTTCCGTTGTGACATGCCCACATGGTTATGAGCAGGCAGCAGCTCTGAATTTTTTAAGCATTTTTCTACTATTAAATTGTATTACACTTTTTTCCATGGCATATATTTGATATTAAATAAAAAAAAATGTAAACATCTGAAACCAGGCTGACGGGCTTTCAGCCTGGCTTTGTTAGGTTACTGTAAACTCCCTTGGCAATTTTTTAGAAACACCTGTACATGTGCTCAGGCATACAATTATCCAATCAGCCAAAGATGTGGCATCAGTGCAGTTCATAAAATCATGCAGACACGGGTCAAGAGCTTTAATTAATATTCATATTAAACACGAGAATTGCGAAAAATGTGATCTAAGTGACCTGACATGTTTGTTGGTGCCAGACGGGGTGGTATGAGTCTTTCAGAAACTGCTGATCTTCTAGGAGTTTCATGCACAACAGTCTCTAGAGGTCATACAGAATGGGGCAAAAAACCCCAAACATTCCGTGAGTGGCAATACTGTGGGCAGAAACTGCCTAGTTGATAGGATAGTTCAGAGGAGAATGGCCAGAACTATTCAAGCTTATAGAAAGGCCATGGTAACTTGAACTCTTTCCTACAGTGCTGATCAGAAAAGCATCTCAGAGCAGATATCACACTGAACATTGAGTTGGATGGGCTACAACAGCAGAAGACCTACTGTCAGCCAAGCACAGAAACTGGAGGCTACAGTGGACAATTGCTGAAGACTGAAAATACTGGAATATTTGAATATTGTAAACTGGTCAAAGTAAGCAAACTGAACAAAGTGGAGTCCTACCCAATATCAGAATAATAAAATGGTCAGTAAGCGTAGTTACAGCAAAAGAAAAAAAAAAGAATTAAAAAGGGAGATGAACATTCTTTGCCCAAAGAAGAAGAAGGTAACAAACAACATTAAAGAATATGTACAACAATGTTTTATTCACTTTTTCTATTAAAATGTTGGGTCATTGTGGTGCCTTTAAAAGCTGTTAGGCTACGGTAGAGTACATTCCTCGCGAGCTACGTGTACATGCAGCCTAATAATCCATTAATAATCTGACTAATAGCATATATACGCCTCAGTTGGAATAGATTAGTCTGATTAAGGCCATTAGGAATACAATTTCTATCCAACTGAATGAGGTGGGAAATCCTGTAAATAATCTGTTAAATAGAAGAATAGCTTATGTGTCTCAAACATGACGTCTTCCTCTTGCTGCTTCCTTAATACATGTGAAGTACATTTTTCTGCCATAATTTTAAAGCAATTAAAAACACAAGCACGCCAGCTGAAAATTCGTCTCACTCTGGCCGGCCCTCATGCGATGCTCGTTGTCATGGTAACGTTTACACTAAGCGGTGCTCTACGTATGCACGTCATTTTCGATCGGATTACTTGTAGTGTGCATGTAAACAGAGATTTTCCATCAGATTGTTGAGCAGAGTGAGCATATAAACACCTCAGTTTAAATCTGTCACTGTAATGTATTCAATCGGATTGGCAAAAATCTTTGCATGTAAACCCAGAAAAAAATTCCTATATTTTCCGTACAGCTTAATGTGTCCTTGTGGTTTAGGGAAGATAAATTACGAAAACTATGAAAAGGTATCCATATCTGAATTTTTAGGCTGAATCCACTATAATGACGTAAAACTGCACATTTATTAAAAAACACATGGTAATCACGATTTTCTAACTAGAAAATATTAGTTATTATTTTTAGACATTGTTCTAAAATGAACTACATGTACAATTAACTACAAGCAAATAGCATTTTCCTCCTTTCTCAATTTATTTTTATAGTCTGAAAAAATCTTAATCTAGAGTCTCCATCTTGACTCAGACTACACTACTACAAAGTCTTGGTCTTTATTCGGACTCGATGTGTCCAGGTTTCGGTCTTGACTCGGATTTGCCTTACTTGACTTGGTTTTGATTACAACACTAATGTCTAGTTCACTGTTATAAAACTATGACTCCCTAGATTGTTCATTATTGTCCTTTGTGAGAGATCATGCAATACATTTCATGAATTAAGCCAAAGCCAGTGAGCGGGACTGCATATTCAGCTTTAAAGTAAGTCAAGTTGCAGTTTAACACTGACACAATGAATTCACATAGTGAATTTTAAGGATTGATACTGTGCGTAAACAAGTTTGACAGTTAAGAAACACTGATTAACTAACCTTGGGCTGATTTCTCTCGCAGCATCAGCAAGATCATCCAGTTGAGTAATGTTTTCAGCTGTATCTACTTTTCCGTTTTTCTGAACAGCAATTGATAATTTACGCAGACACGCTCCAGATGCCTTAATGAGGCCCAGACATTTGGAGATGAGCTGGCGGTCACTCTCAGACCAATATGTGTCCTGGTTGCCACGGGCCTCAAGATCGTCATCATCCAGGACATCGCTGAAAGGGTCCTGGCTCTCAGCTAGTGCCTACAGGAAAAACACAGATGTAAAGAATATAGCCTGTGCAATTGTTTTTTACATTAATATACCAATAACTCTTTATTACAGGATAAATGAAGGTAATGGATCATCACTGCTTTTAATTAAATTATTAGTATAAAAAGTTTTCTAACAGATACAAAAAAAAACATACAAGTACATGGGGAATTACTGTTGCAGCAGCAAGGTTTCATCAGAGATCAGCTACCCACCTGGTACATCTCCTCTAGAGCATCTTTCACCATCCCAATATATGAAGCCATCACGTGTAACACTGCAGCACGATTATCTGTTAAGGAAACAGACAATGACATCAGTACAGGCCATTCTTACCAAAAAAAAAAAAAAATTGATAAAAGCATTTTTCTCAATCTCAATAAAAATCTCAATAAATGTGCAAGTATTTCTCTGACTCACACCTGGAAGTTTAAATAATTGATGCATTTTTAGAAGCTTTGTGGATTTTATGAGTAATTTTGGAGAAATACAAGTACACAGAGCAAACAAGACCAAAAAAAAAAAAAGTTTCAGAGCTAGTAGTTCACATGGCAAAGATGCTGTTTCTAAGTTCCTGAATTTAATGCAGGCCACAGGAAGAACCCAGAGAACTCAACTCTGTACCTGAAAGTCTTTATATTCGACAATCATATTCCTATGGATTCCCGTTCAGAGATGACAGTGGATGTCACCGGGTAGAAAGAATGGCTTGCATCTTTGCAGTTCATATACAGCAGGGGTACTCAATTCTCCACCAACGCTCCCTCATTAAGATGCAGTAGAAGACTTATGTGACAAACAAAAGCTTTAAAAAAAATCTGCAACAAAGCTGCTTGTTGACATCTACTGCAAGAAACACTACTTAAATGAAACAGAGTTGACTGGAATTTCTACACCACATGACAGGTGGGATTTGTGGAGGGGAGGCTTTGGTAATTTTAAAATTACTGCTTTATTTGAGGATTTTGCATGTCCTGAGTTTAAACAAAAAAAACTTCAATAACAAAACTGCAATACAATTGTCTTTCTGCGACAACACAGAACAGATAAAACATTTGCAAAAGAAGCAAGGTGTTAAAATGTTAACAACAAGTACATACAGGTTATTAAAAGCGGTAAACTTAAAAACTTTGATAACGTAGCGGACTAGTTACTGCTGCTTACTCACCTCTTGGCAGCTGAGCAAACCGATCACATGACGCCCAGACGCCCCCTGTAGATGTTAGCTGTTCCTGAGATAAACTTAAAAAAAAAAGTAATAGTAAGCAGTGTAAGCCACATGTATGAATAATACATTTTCTCCAAATAATAGTACAACTTGATGAAAATGGCCAGTCTATATATATAGAGACTTTTCTCTTTGTACATGCTCTCTAGGTTATGTCATTAGGAAACAATATAAATTTTCATATGCTGATGACACCCAGTTATACATTTCCATTCTTTCTGATAATAAAGACTCTGTAGACAGACTGACCAGCTGCGCATCACATATTTCTCAGTAGATGTCTTTCTACAGTTTTTCTAATTTTCTACAGTTAAATCACGAAAACGGAAATACTGATCAAAGACTTGATTACTGTAATGCTCTTCTTACTTGACTTCCTAAGAAAACAATACATCCTTTACAACTCGTACAAAATGCATCAGCACGCATCCTAACAAAAACAAAAAAGAGAGATCATATCACTCCCATTTTAAAAGAACTGCACCTGCTACCTGTATCGTTCAGGATAGATTTTAAAGTTCTACGACTAGTTTTTAAGGCTCTAATAACCTAGCACCTGCTTACATCACAGTCTGTTTATGTTCCAACATGTGATCTTAGATCTGCAGATACTGGCCTTCTGCAAATACCTACTGTAAAATACAGAAAACATGGAGAGGCCTCGTTCAGTTATTATGCTTTTAAACTGCGGAACTCAAATCCACCTTTTATTAGACAGTCAAGCTCAGGGCACACTTTCAAGAAACATCTAAAAGCACATCTCTTTAACTTAGCATTCAATTAAAACTCTACATCTCTTGGTATTTATCTTTTAATTTGATCTGTGCCATTTTCTAAAATGATTCTAAATTAATACATTTTTAATAATTTCTTATATTACTGTTAAGCTATATCACCTGTCTGTAAAGCACTTTGAGCTGCCATCAGCATGAAAAGTGCTATATAAACAAAAATTATTATTATTATTAGTAGTAGTAGTAGTATCTTTTAAGCCCTTGAATTAAGCAACAGCAATGCTTTTATTAGCTAGCTACATTTATATTGCATTGCATTATATTGCATGTGATACATTTGTTTTTGTTCCTTGACCAACTAATTTAAACTAATTTAAGCTCCACCTAATTCTTGTTAATTTGCATAATATGCAAAACCCACTTTTGTGAACTAGTCCTTGAGTTTTTGCTCAATCTAAAAATTCTATAACTCAAGAATGCTTTATTAAAAAAATAAACTTCATAGTCTCCAACTACACATGATTCTTAGGTAGTATCCCAATTCTGGTGCATGTATATTGTTTGGGGGCACTTTAAGTGCTAAATACCTGTTTCTCAGCATCCGTACATCCAATCATGATGAAATTTTGCATGCTGCATCTTTGAGATAGATTATATCTGAATTCCTAAGGATGACTTCATAAATCAAAATGTATAAAACGTGAATAGTATCTCTATGCAGGCACATTCTAATAAGCAATAAAGTTTCAAAAGATTTAGCCATTAAGCGCTATTCATGAAAATCAAATATAAATTACTTTTTGGTCAGAAAACTGATGTAATTTGATGCAGTATATATTACAAACAACTTCACAATTACAAGTGTATTAAAAATGCATAATTGTTTTGCAATCATTAATTGTTTGAAAACCACACTTTTCAAACTAGTCCCTGCGTTTTGATCCTAAATTTTAAAAATTGGTCTGATACTCTGGCCTCTGTAGGTAAATAATTATTGAAAACATTTTTTATTCATCAAGGTCTCCCTCCATCAAGCAATCATTGCAGCCTTGGTATGTGTATCCAAAATTGCTATAACTCAAAAGAACTTTGTCTAATCTAAAATCTTAAACACTTGTACATGTTGAGACTCTGATAAAGTGTCCAAATGTTGGTCCAGATTGTCCTGTATGGAGCGTTACAGCATTAAAAAACACTTAAAATCCGTAAACAGTTAGTGCCATGTGCTTCAGAACACTGTCCTAAATAACTTTGCAATTACATGCCAGAAATTGAACTCGTCTTCAGATTCAAGGAGTTAAACATTACACCAGGAACACACTGTGCAATTGTAGCCTGTTTTTAAACACAAACAAATACAATCACAACCACCAACCCAATATGGATGGAAAAAAGTAGGCTAACAAAACAGAGGAAAAAAACTCTGTATTTGCTACCAAAGTCTGCATATGCCAACTTTATTCTGTTTGACTAAATCAAATTGAGAGGTCAGTCATTTTATGGAATAGGGATGCAAGGCTACACGGTATATTGTCGAACCATTCAGTTAACCCACTACACTTCAATATGCACACGTGAACTGGGGTATTGCAATATGCCTGTTATTTTTCTATAATTTCCAAAACTTGCTAATTGCGCTACAAACTACGCACATTGTATGTTCAGATCCACAGAACATCTCTGGAGCCTCTCAGCAATCTGTATGCAAATATGGGCTGGAGAAAAGAAGGAGAACTAAAAACAAAAAAAAAAAATCCCTCAGCACAACAGAGCCAGCACGCCAAGTTGACGTACAGCGTGGCTCGCGACTCCAGCAGCCAGTCTTATATGTAAACAGTAACGTAAACTAATGCTAATGGTAAGTTACCTCAGCTAACATTACTATCACAGCCTTTTTAGCTAATATCTTTTAATATCTTTCATCATAAAAACAGTCACTCTTGTGAAGACTGATCCCAAGTGTGATTAGTGATGCGATTAGCACTCTGATTAGTGATGTGATTAGTGCTGTACTACATGACACGGCATATCTGATGTGCGGTGGCCTTAACAATGTCCACTCCCACACACATTTCAGCATTCCCAAAACTCTGTGAATATCTCTGAGAGAAACTGAAAACAAATTGACACAAACACTGTATTTAGCTCTCTTTAATTATTTAACATAGAGAAGGCAAAGCACCTACAGGTTATCAAAGCTAAGAAGCACTTTTTAATGTTTTTCTCTCTTTGATTTCACACAGTACAGACGGACACCAGGACTAGTCAGTCATGCTGTCATTTTTCTGAATTGTTTGTCTGTAGGTAAAATAAAGAGTTCATTGTTTAAAGGGTGATACGTTTTTTTCTTAAATATAAAGAAGCTGTACCATTACGCAGCCATGCTGTGCCAGCTGATCAAAACTTTCTCCCACTATCCTTTGACAGATTTGTGAAACGTTCTACTGTTTGGCAAGTGTTTGTCATGTTCTGGCCATAAAGGATAAAATGACAATTAAGCACTCAGGAGCAAAAATCAGCCTTTAAACTTGAAAGCAATAACAATTTGACATTTATCATGATAATCATCGATATCAACTGATGTGAATTTTTTTTTTTATCGTGATCACATTTTTGGCCATATCGCCCAGCCCTATTAAGCTGTCACTTATTTTATTCATACAGCCAGTGAGTCATGCAATAATGTGGTCTAAGTGTAGTACAGTGACAGAGTGACAGTAGGCCAAAACTGAACCTGTTCTGTGGTGTTTGAGAGAGAGCTTAGTCAGCAGGCCATATGTACCCCAGCCTAGCACAGGCTTGTTGTAGCTAACTGATGCTAAAACAACACCCATTGGCACACCTGTTTAGAGGATAGCACAAAGTAAAGTGACTGGTGTTGGGGTGAAAGCTGAAACTGAACGTATTCTGTGGTATGTTCAGAGAATGTGCGATACTGATACATGTAGCTCTTTGCAGTACTTGACCCGCTATCATTATTGTTTTTGTGAAGTTTTTCCAGGCTCAAATTTTACCACCTTTGCTGTTAGTGCCGCCTATTGGTGAGTCCTCTGAAATTTAAATGATTGGAATGTGTTAATTTATCTGTTCACAAGTGGAATATAAATTTGACAAGTCATAATTTTGAAATACGTCATCCTTTTTACATGCCACGATATACCGTATTACTGTCACACTCCCCAAGCCTAGACTCATACACCTGCAGAAATGGGTAATTGCGCCCCTGATCCCAAAGGTTGGGATTTACCAATTTTCCGGCACAAACACTGACCCAATTCATCAGTTGACTGCCAGGTTCAGTTGGAGTGGTTAAGCAAGCAAATAAGCCACATAAGCACGCAAAAGTTTGAACACTCCTGGCCAAGTTACATGTTTTTCTATATGAAAATGAGTTAACACATCCTCTTCAGAGAGCAAACTTAGGCTCTGTGCACAATACCAGGCTGAAGTGACACAAATCCACTTTCTTGCCTTAATGTGACACAGATCTAATGTTTTCAAAGCTGATTGGACACACAAATCTGATCTTTTCAAATCAGACCAGGAAAAGCAAAAATCACACTATTTTTGGCCTTCTTTGCCTCTAATAATGAACAGCTGAGAGTGGTTTAGAGGAAATTATCTTCACAGCGAAGGCTTGTTCTGCTGGTTAGTTTGCTGTTCATCATGCATGTGATTGATTCATGTGACATTACTGATTAGAATGTGTGCACACAGATTTAAGTCACTTTTCTACACAAATGTGAACCATTGTGTTTGAAATATCGAATTGGAGTAAAAAAATCTGATTTGAGCAACGAGGCTTGTGAAGTGAGCGTAGCCTTAAAAATGACATTTTCTGCAAATGTTGAAGCACAATTTTTATTTACTTGCTGAGTTTCACATATTGAAAACAAAATAATAATAAAAAATGTGCCATAACATTTATATTTTTTTCCCCCACTATGTTAAATTCAGCAGACGCATATAGAGGACATGTACTTAATTTCACTTAGAGAATTACCAAAACATGAAATATGTCCGGGGCGCCCAAACTTTTGCATATGACTGTAAATCTACTAACCTCTGGCCCTCAGTTTCCCAGCCCTGGTCTGTGCTCTAAAGATACTATGCTACAGATTAACGTAGAAAAAAAGGAAGTAGAGTTTTAGATACCTCTGTAAAGGAGAAGACAGGAGGATGTCCAGCAGTTGAACTACACCATCCAAAACTTCACCAGTGGCTTCTCTGACCAACTTACGCAAAGTGATACCTAAAGGAAACCAAGTAACCCTATTAAAAACCCAGCTAAGTGCCAAAAAATACCAAGTTTACTAATATTAAAAGATTTACATTACAGACATCCTAGGAATGTAAATAAGAATTCTCTATTTAGTGAAATGTTTTAAGCAGACATAAATAATCTTCTATAGCATACTCAAATGAGTAGATCAACTTTGTAAACTAACCAAGGGAGATTAAAATACACTGTGAATGTACAAAAAGCATCACATGCTTCACTGCAGTCCTAAAGTAAAGTATCAGTCAAGTCTGGACAATAAAAGGGCATTCCTTTATTTTCGTAGTTATTAGCTGCTGAAAAAAAAAATTAAAAAATTTGCTTTAGAACTAAATTCACTATTTATATTTGTCCAAGAACCACATTTCGAGCATTTACCCTTTAGATCAGAGTGTCTAAGATAAGGTAAAAACGTATATTCGATCAAGTGTCCAAACTTTTGACTGGTATTATATAGCATATATTGTTGGTCAAACAGCTGAAACAAAGAAAATATGAGCCAAAAAGCCACAATCCTTTTTTTAATTCAGCAAAATGAGCACTGGACTTCAGGAAATTAAGTCTATTTTTCTGTAGGGTGTTGAATGCTTTTCTCATGCATCTAAAGGATTGTCATAAAATCTTTGTTTAAACAAAATGTTTGGCTGAAAGCTACACTATGTAAGTTCTGGGGATTTGTAAACTTCTCTTGTGAAAATATGTAATTGCACGCGGCATGCAGAACATTTTCCGTTCCCTTCAGACCCCTTCCCCAAGCAGAATCTGATGACTGCGAGCAAACTGAAAGAGTATTCAAAGAGAACTCAGTCAAAATTTGGTGAACAATATTGTTAGCATATTTTTATCAGTATAATATAGATTTTGCACCTAAACATTGAGCCATGCCTGTGCATGTGACTTTAATATGTACAGACATATGACGTGATCCAAAAAACTCATGCAGTAGTGGGGCATTCTTGTTATATCGGCCGAAATTCTTTCACTGTTATGAGTTTTGTCATGACTTATACTGGTATGCCAATAATACATGTGGACAACGTACAGACAACGAAAACCATGTTAACATTAGCCTCTTCAGCTGAGTGGCTGAAATAGGAATGTTTCAGTTACGTTTCAAATGAAAATAAAAAGCAGCAGTCCCTCGATCACCTCCTGCTGTTTAGTCAGTTACATCTGAAGTATTCCACTTTGTTTTTGAGGCGGAAGAAAAAAATAATTGACTGTCTTTTGGGGTTAGCCTTGTCCTAAGATGAAACCCAGACCCACTGCCACACTTCCTCTTGTACCGCCTGAGAAACCACCTGACTCAGTCAGCTGCATCAGATGACGCCACAGTCTAGGGTGTTTGTGTGTGAAACAAGCTGTGAACCAGCTGGTACTGACAGCTATATAACTGCAATATTTTCCCAATTCTAGCAGTGTCTGTTTGATGGCACAAGTATATGGCACGCACATGAGACAAATGGCTTGAGAAATTCAAGCTGAAACTGCCTTCTGATTTAAAATTCCTGTTCCACTTTAAATGGTACAGCAAATGCATTCAGGCGCCTGTACAGAAATTCAGGCGTGAAACAACATTTAGCACTTGCCTTGCCAGGCCTGCAAGGCTAGTTTTAAAAAGCAATACTGAAATAGATTTATCTACATATTTTTCAGTTTTGTTTTTAACAGTTTGCACAATAAAAATATTTCAGATTTACTTTGGCTGTGAACAGTGAAAGGACACAGCAGAATAATAAGCCACTGTTAACCTGCAAAAATAGGTTTACTTAAACATCTAAAATGGTTCTATCTAGCAATATATAAACCTATGCACACACACACATACACCTTGATACATACGAAAAGCATCAGAATTTTGGCCATACTGCCTACTACTAATTTCAAGCTTTACAGGCTGACTCACAACAGCACATGGACACCATGTTTTAGCATTTTTTCCTTCCAACTCAGTACTGCTAAAATTGAAAAAAGTAACAAAAAATCTTACATAGTGCAGCTTTCACTGTTATTTGTAACACTGGCACAAACCTGGATTGCCAGTTGCAGAAATCCCTTGATCTATAACGTCAGATCCACATTTCTTTACCTTAATTGTACTCAATGCTCAAGTATCAAACAGTTCTTAAACATCAGGGTACTTTTTAGGATATTGCAAAGGCAATAGTGAATATAAACAGCTCACCTTCACTCTTTGGCAACCAGTAATAAATTGTTGAGAGTGCCAGTACATGCTTCTGAATGGACTCTGCTAGCTTTGCACAGTCCTTGAATGAGAACAGTGAGCCACGCCATTAACCAGAGCTGTGACAATAGGCATCACAGACTTAAACTACCAAAATGTATTTACTGAAGGAACTGGATTGCATGGCATATGACAGCAATAACCTGACTCACCTCCTCTGAAGGGAGTGGGGGTTTGGAAAAGGCTAGACTAAGTGTGGTCGCTTCTTGTGAGGTGGCCTTCACTGCCTGATCTGTGGAGTAGGACAAAAAAGGCTTTACCTCTATTGAATAATTTAGTACCTAAAGGCAAAAGCACAAGTAATAAAGACAATTCTATGGATGCATGATGATATCTGACACGGAATCGTTGTCTACAGATAATTATTTAAAATCTGACTAGTATGAACTAGACATTTCAAGCCAATATTTGATGATGTAGTTGTGAGGTCAGGCACTGATGTTGGCAAAGAGTGATGAAATTGATGTTCCAGTTCATGCCAAAGGTGTTCAAAAGGGTTGAGGTCAGGGATCTGTGCAGGGCACCGGAGTTCCTCCACACCAAACTCATAAAATCATGACTTTATGGAACTTGCATTGACTGGAACCTGAAAGGCTGTCCCCAAACTGTTGCCACAAAGCATATAACTGTCAAAAATGTCTCTGTATGCTGTAGCATTAACGTTACCCTTCGCTGGAACCCAATCCCTAAAAAAACAGCCCCAGACCATTATCCCTCCTTCACCAAACTTTACAGCTGGCACTATGTATCCTGGTTGGTAGAGTATCTGCCTGCCAGATAGTGAGGCGTGAATCATCACTCCAGAGAACATGGCCTGGCATTGTGCATATGATCCTCGGCTTGTGTGAAGCTGCTTTGGAAATCCATTTCATAAAGCTCCTGACACACAGATTTCATGCTGAAATTGCTTCCAGGGACAGTTTGGAACTCCCTAGTCAGTGATGCAACAGAGGATTTGTGATTTTTAAATGCTATGCGCTTCAGCATTCCATGCCCCCATTCTGAGCAGTTGTTTCTGCTAGATATGAACTGACTAGTGGCAAAGGTGGCATCCTACGACAGTACCACGTTTAAAGTGACTGAGCTCTTCAGTATGACCTATTTTACTATCAGTGTCTGTCTATGGAGATTGCATGGCTAAGTGATTGATTTTATACACTTATTGACAACGGGTGTGTCTGAGACACCTGAACTTAATAATTAGGAGCTGTATATAAATAAAAATATTGAATATTGACATCAGCCCAGAATTCTCTTCATCAGTGCATCCCTAAATAAATTTCAACAAACCTAAACATGAAAACACTCAACTCAGCACTTCCCAGAAGTTTGACAAGTTAAAGGCCCCAGCAGACTCATTTGATTCTCCATCTGAAAAAACATCAACACAACATAAAAGAAACATTAGCTACAGTCATGCACATCAGCAGTGTTTCTGCATAGTGACCCAACAGTGGTGATACTTTTAATACAGATTAGCCGATGCTTTATGTCAAACCCACACATTCAGAAATAATATTTTTTAAAATGTTCTCCATTTAAAACAATCTATTGACATTTTCAAGGTTCTGTCTAATGTGTTACAGCAAGAAAAGTAAAAGTACAGAGAATGTAGTACTGATTAAACTGGTTGTGATAAGCATGAGGGGTAGTACCCGGAACAACCTCATTTCATCAGGCCATGGACTCAACAAAAGTTAATTCAATCTCATCACACAGATGCTGTAAAGGAAGACTGGAAAGGATCGACTGTCATATTCATAGAACCATTTTTGGAGCAACCTGATTATGGGGAATTATTTTGTTATTGTATTGTTTTACAATGGAGCTTTGAGCTAAAGTAGCTACATTTTTTAATAAGCACTGTTCAAACTGCATGTCTAAATCTTATCCCAAACTGTGTTGTAAAATAAAGACTCAAAAGTGGTTTCATGTATAACACTGTATAACATATTGTTATATATAAAAACAAAGTACAGACAAAATTCAGGCTTCAAGATGACTGCTACTACTGTTTTTGACATACACCATATTTTTTGTCTACTGTTACAAATAAAAGTATGTAATATAGTGCCAGAAACAACATGAGCAAGTCTATCATACAATTTAGGTTCAAAGATAGACTGATGATGGTACAATGTAATATAAAATATTAAGACTTATGACAATCCTACAAGTCCAAGCATAATGTGTCATATAGGAGTGGTGTTTCTGTAATGTGTAACACATATTTCACAATAGTGGCATTGCAAGCTTAATAAAATTGTAACCATTTTTCTTCACAGACACAAATTTAAAAACAAGTTGAAAAATACAGTGGATGGGGTACACAACAATGCATTCAGTCCAGAACAAAAACTCACAATAATCTGAAAATAATTATCTTTTGTTTAGCAGTATCAATACAAGGAAGATGAATATTGCTGTAAATTTCCTTTTTAAATATAAAATTATGGGGTCCTGAAGCCTTAGTATTTTGTATAGAACAAAGCAAGTAATTAATAAAGTTCTGGGTATGAGCGATAAAAGGGACTCAAGGCAGCATCCCAATGGTAGAGTGACTTGGGGGAAGAAGCCCCCAATGGTAAGTTTAAAAACTTTTTAACTTTTTGCTATAATAATAACAATAACAGTAATAATTATACACAAATACATAATATTTTTATTTAATTTATTTACTACCAATAACGTTTTAATTCAAGTGTTCCTACTTTAATGTCATTTTTTTTTTATCAGAGTTTCTTAAAAATGAAGCGGAATCATTAACACAATTTGGTCAAGGCCTGAATTTCACTTCAAAACATTTTATTGTCAGTGTTCTGCAATTAATAATTTGGCATATAATGATATATTCTGTAAAACTTTGATGATAAACCGATCTTGTCAACAGTGAAGGAAAGTGATCTATTTATGTTTGTTGACTACAGGCACGTGCAAGCAATACAGTTAAAAAAATATAACCAAATTTCTTTGCATTCACAGGTGAAACGAGCCTTCCGACATCCGTACCGTTAATCGACAGCTTGACCTGACCTGAAGTTACCGCATGCTGGATTCTCTATATCCTTATCATCCCCTAACATGCTACTAGCCCAATACAAAAAATATATCTGCTCTTCAGCTCCTAGTCGATAGCACGCTTGTTTGTCTCTTTAGGTGGGTGGCTAGCATGTTTAATCGACCAATGTAAACCGAACTGACATGACATAAAACTTTCTCTAACCAGTCTACGAAGTGTTTGGCCGTCTTTATTATTATGTAGCAGTTTAGCTGATCACTAAACACAACGCGATTAAATTAGCTAAGATTAACTTCAGAAAAATCAGAAAAAAGCCAGAGAGGCTAGCCGTTAGCCATGATCGTGTTTGAAACATTAATGTTAGCAATAGAAAGCCTGCGTGGCTACATTCGGTTAAATAAGGCTTTCGCTCTTACCTTTTACCCGGTCTCGAATACACTTGACTACGTTTGATACATTTCGTAAAGGAACCAGAACATCTGTACAAGAATTATTAGCACTCATGACAACTTTGACACGAGAAACCACGCAAAGCGACTACAGGTGGAACTAAAGTATTTTCACTTCGTTTTCTTCGGAATGTGTTCATGGTGGGACCTGGGACGTGGTATGACAAGTTCTCTGGTATGGTGCATGTTGCGTGCTGTTTCAGCAATAATTACTTTTGTTGACTATATATGAACTTATTACAGAAAATTATTACACAGATATACATGACTAAGTTATACATAAAGATACAATCTGATTTTGAGATAATATTAAAATAGCGTACGCTGAGAGGCCCATTCACTTCTACACGATTTGGTAGTAACACCACAATTGGCACCTTGGTTTACTCCCTGTAGAGGTCGCTGTTGAGTGTTGTATGGCAGATTTCCTCAACCCCTCGACCAAGCACACTCAGGGTGCCACTGAACCGCTAGTGGGCGAGTACTAAAGATAGGGTGAGTCAGTGGTTCTTAGTGGGCCAGTACAATAAAAATCAGTGGAAAAATAATTGACTTAATAATAAGAAAAATCTAAAATGTTTTCATACAGCAAGCAGTTATACAAGCCGTGCAAGAATGGCACATAAAGCAGCTTCATCTGTTTTTTACCCCATGCCTCTAGAAACAAAAAACATTGCTCAAAGTTTCAATCGTCCACTCAAGAGTCAAACATTTCACTTAATTAGCCACCATTCTGCCTTTCAGGTATGAAATAGGTTTATGACAGCCTAATCTGTTGGTGTTTTGTGTTTAATAATACACATCACATATTGCTGTGCCCAAACATTGCTGGTTTAAAAATTTTTGTAAGCAAAAAAGTTTTTCGTTGGCCATCATACTTTCAAGTGATAAATAGACATTGAGGTGGAAAAGGTTGAGAACCTTTGTTGTATAGAATTATTGTGTAAAGGTTTTAAATAAAGTATTATAAAATACACAAGCCAAATGCTAAAAATCCAAATGTAAAAACATGTTGCAAATATGATAACAAATAAATAAAATGTCATTTGTCAAGGATATTCTGGCCCTTTTATTATTTTTTCGTCCCTTTAGTGATAAATCTGAAAAAGAGTTTTTTTTTTGGGACCATTTTGCCTTACAATGCCTGGCATGTACATCTCGACCATGAATAGATAAAAAAGATACACTTTGGCCTTATAGCTTATCTCAGAAAAAAGCTTATCAGTAAACCATATCTTAGGCATCAGGCAACATATTTGTAACCCCTTTGTGTTATAACTTTGTGTGAGGTAGATTTTAGAGGCATTAAACTTTTCAGACATCTAGTTCATATGACCACAACTGTGAACAATTCTGTCTCGGTAAGTTCACAAAACACCGAATGATTTTGGCTACATATTAGTGATTCAGTTATACAGATCTTTTTGAAAAAGGGTGGAATTAACCTTTAAATGTTGGTAAACTGATTTTGGAGTGACAGGTCCTCTCAACTTTAGCCACACCCACAAGCTTAGAAACCATAGTCCCCCAACATGGCTGAACACATATTACGTGCAGTACTGCACTGGCATGTCTGATTTCATATCCAGTGTTTCCCAATATATTGTTCCTCATGTCACTCATGCAATTATCCAAGCCAATCATGTGGCAGCAGTGCAGTGCATAAAATCATGCAGAAATGAGCCAAGAGCTGCAGACCATTAATGTTACTGAATGTGATGCAAGTGACATAGACTATGGCATAGTTTTTGGTGCCTGAAAGGTGGTTTGAGTATTTCAGAAACTGCTGATCCCTTGGATTTTCATCCACAACAATATCTAGAGTTTAAATAAAAAAATAAAAAAAACATTCGATGAGCAACAGTTCTGTGGATTGAAACAGCATGTTGATGAGAGAGGTCAGAGCAGATTAGCCACACTTGCTCAATCTAACAGGAAGGTTACAGTAACTCAAATAACCACTCTGTAAAATAGTGGTGATCATTAGGCCCACTAATACCAATTGAGCACTGTTTGAATGCCAAAGGTGGGAATTAAAATGGGATTTATGTTTATGTGGAGAGTGAAAAATTTTAATAATTTTAATGTATTGTAATAATGTAATGTATTAATTTTAAATTGAGTTTTAGACTCTGTGTTTACATTTCAGCCCTTCAGGTTTGACGGTTGTAAATTTGCATTTAAATTTACAGCTTTAAATTTATCCTTTAAGTATTAAACTTATAAAGATAAGATGTTTTATGCAAGCCGAGACAGGTCTTAAGGTACATTTTAATGCTAAATATCCTTCATTATAGTATCTCATGCCTGTTACATGTGCAATATAAATTGCAATATATAATGAGCTGTAAAGAGCAGAGACAGAAGAAGTGACACAAGGCACCTAACAAGGGTGCCAAAAGGAGCTCCACCTGGAACCACTGAATCCAGAAGTCTTTTTTTGTTTGTTTGTTTGTTTGTCATTGTACACCTAAATAAATAAAATTTGATTTTTGAAAGTCTCTTAGTACTTCTCTTTCTCACATTTTTTCTCTGATTTTGTATTTTGTTATTTTATTTATGTGCCCCCTTTTGTGCTTCCACAATCTTTCCTTTGTTTCTGAGTTTTGGCTTATTTTTATGTGAGTAGATGGATCTTAGAAGAAGGTGTTCACCTTAAAGAGGAGTGGCAGATGGCAATACCCATAGCTTCCTTTTCTTGTCATCACATATAGTGCACTCCAGAATTATTGGTGCATATAAGGATAGCAGAAAAATTGCTACAGTTGCCACAATTATTGCACCCTTGCATTTAGTACATATTTAACTCTCCTTTTGCTGAAATAGCATCACTGAATCTCTTATAATGCTGGGTCAGGTGGGATAACACATTCAAAGGCATGTGAAACTAAACTTCATGTCAATATCTTTCCAGATCCAAGTCTTTGGTCCTTCCTTCGATTTTTGTCAATGTACTGTGAGGACCACTGTAAAAATTTGATTTTGTGTTCAGTGATCCATTTTTGTGTAGATTCAGAGCAATGATTTGGAGCATTATCTTGTTAAAAGATCCAACCATTACCCAGTAAACCTCCTGGCAGAGGTAGAGGTAGCAGATATCTGATGGAGCCCCTGATGCCAAATATTCCAATAAGATTCACTGGTCCTGCAAAGATTCAGTAATTACAGGTCCACCAACACACTTCACAATGGGGATAAGGGTCTTTTCTGACCATGACTCCATTTATGGCAAGACCACCTATTTGCAATCAAAAAGCTGTATTTTTGACTCACCTGGCCACAGAAGTTGGTTCCAAACAAACTTTAAGCAATATTTAGTAAACTGCAGCTAGGACAGCATAAATGTTCTTGTGTGAAGGCAACAAATTATTTAGATGGCTTCACACAAGAACATTCCAGCTGTTGCAGTTGTTCAGTTGTATATATAATCCCTGGAGAACATTTGCCCCTCTATCATATGCTGGATACTGTATGCAGAACAAATACACTTGCATGCTCTTCTAGGCAGCTCTAGGTCTTATTACCTTAATAATTGAGTCTGTTTGTATGGGTCTGCAGATGTTAAGCTATTTTCATAGCCATTGCCTGATTCATGGTACATATTCTCTGAATTTTATTGCTTTGTGGAATGACAGCCAATGGTGTTTGGCCTGTGAATCACATCATATTTATAGTTGAAGCAAAAGTTATGAAGGATCACTAAACAATTTCCTAAAGAGGTATGCTTAAAATGTAAATTGTGTTTTGACAGAAGTGTACATGTATGATTTATTTTCTTTGAATAATTTTACATCAGGAAAAGTTAGATTTTGCTTATATTTTTATGTATCCTCATTTTTCATATAAAAGTGTAGTATCAAGCTGACATTTTTTTACCTAACATATGGTTAATTGTAGAGGGCACTGTATATCCACTAAAGACAAAAGGGTAAATATGTAATGTTACAACCAGCAATTGGCTCTTATCCAGATCAAATTACAGTTTAATCATTTTACAAAAGTAGATGAATGTAGTGTTAGGAGTCTTACCCATGGACTCTAATAAGTATAGTGTGGCGGTGTTGTTACCCAGGTGGGGATTTGTACCCAACTCAGCCACGTGGAGGCAGTGGTATTACCTACAACACTGCACCATCTGATATGTTACTTTCCTATAGCAAATCTATGGGGTTGGCCAAAAAAACTAGTCATGGCTAAATTCTGAATAACACTGTCTTAAATGCATACAGTAAAGTATTCCATTACAATACATAAAAAGCTATGTGTTCAATATACATTTAGAATACATTTACAATACATCTTGGTAAAGCATATGGGAATTTTTTGTCTTAACTCACACTGTTTTTCATTGTTACTGGTAGTCAATCTCCTTCATTTAATTATTCTGTTAATATGTTTCATTAAAAAATCACTTATAATTTAAGTGAAGTTCAGAAAACATTTTTTTTCCTTCTTGCCTGCTTCTCCCATAGTCCTCTGAGGAGACTATTAGTTTGGCCATCCCCTATGAGAGTTCAGTAACACTGAGATAAATAACTGATCATCACATTGATTTATCAGTCTATTCAGGCTTTAGCAGAGAAATCTCTGTATGCAACGGACAAGGCCAAAATCAGTATTTGCTGGCAATGATCTTTGGGCCCTCAGGTGGCACTGCATTAAAAGCAGACACAATTCTCTAGTGGAAATCACTGCATGGGCTCAGAAACACTTCTGAAAAGCACTGTCTGTGAAAACAATTCATCGCTGCATCCAAAAATGCAAGTTAAAACTCAAAAACGCAAAGAAGAAACTGTACATGAACAAGATCCAGAAATGCTGCCACCTTTTCTGGGTCCGAGCTCATTTAAAATGGACTGAGGTAAAGTGGAAAAGTGTCCTGTGGTCCGACAAATCAACATTTGAAATTTTTTTTGGTAATCATGGACACTGTGTCCTTTGGGCTAAAGACCACTCAGCTTATTATCAGTGCACAGTTCAAAAGCCAGTATTCATGATACTCTAGGGGTACATTACTACACATGGCATGGGTGATGTGCACATCTGTGAAAGCACCATTATTGCTGAACGATATATACATGTTTGGGCATCATATTCTGCCATCCAGATAATGA